TTGTCGATGTGCAAAAAAGTTTAATAGCAGAATGTCAAAGCTCAGAAAAACTCAGAAACCACTATAAGCCAAAGAAAGGCCTTATTTGTTTTGTCTCTACATCCTAATAAAGAAAACTAATCAGGAGTCAAGAGGAACTCAAAAGTAACAGAGTAAGATTTTGAGTAATCGGGTTCTGTTCGAGGTTAGGCATTAATTACCCTCATTGAGGGCGACTTTCCCCAAAAGTCAATGGTTAAATTCTAAGAGAAAGAGGGGTGAGACGAACCTCTGTTCATGTATCCATATCTTTTTCATCGTTTCATTAAAGCACTTCACATGAGTTGTCTCATATACTGAAACTTCTGAGAAGATTTAGTTATCAGCTTTGTGAAACAGCAAACTCACCGTTCAGTTTGAAAGTTACCTTACTAAGCCTGTAACCCTGCCTTGTCGTACAGCCCTCAGGTTGAAGTGAAGGAAGCAGCGTCACATTAAAAAACTTAAATGTGGTGGTCCAATAAACACCATTACATCATCCATTTACTTTCACTTGAGGAACTGCGATGCACTAATTTTATTTATGCTTAAGATCTGCATGTTTTAAACATAACATTTAGGAACAGTACGTTGCTAAAGCACTAAGCAATAGTGTCTAATCCACTGCATTGTTCCCCAGCAAACAGCCTTGTAGGCTGAACAAAGGAACATGTAAGGGGCATGCAGGAAAGAATTAAGCTACCTCACCAGCCGGGCTCACACATACAATAATCCTGCTGTGAATCACGTCTTTGTGCGAACCAGAATGACCACAGCCCCAGTGACGGGCGCTTCAGCGGGAGTTACCTTGGCAATGCCATGGCAGCTCTAAACTCGGTGGGGAAAATAATAATAACTTAAATGCCTTTAGTTTGGCACTTATTGCAAACATTTGGGGTAAAGAAAACATCAATGCTGATTTTCCCTTCTCCGGGATAAATGAAGGACTATTATTTTTGTCCTTTTCCAAGTTGCATTTCCAGCACAGCGACCGCTTTTTAATTTCCAAACAGTAAAATAAAAATAAAAGAAATCTGGAGTACATAACTCCAAGATGCATGACTATTAAAGTCAACAATATTGCAACTTTGTCGAAAAGAAACTGTGCAACATTTAGGTTATAGACACTTGAAACATTATCTTCACATTTCCAAGTGGGGATTTTAAATGCTACACCTTACTGTGTAGATCCAAATGTATATTTACACACTTAAAAGGTGCTTTGTGTACATCTAACAGAGACGTTTTTTACCAGAAGAGAACGTTAAGGAGACTAATGTATCTGACCTGCTGAGGCCCTCTTCAACTGCATGATTATGTAGCATATTACCACAGCACCACATGCTGTTAACTATCACTGTAGCAGCTAAAGCATGAGTAATTCCACTAAAAATATTTCACCCACATCATAAAGAAACGTGATTATACTGCCTTGTAAAGGTATTCCTATCCCTTCAGGGGTTTCTTGTTTTTTTTTTTTTTTTGAACAATTTGTCACTTCACAACAACAAACCTCAGTGCATTTTATTAGGATTGCATATAAAGTGAAAGAGAGATGATTTTCTTTTTTTTATGTATAAATGAAAATCTGAAACAAGTGGCATGCATTTGCATTTAGTTCTACTAAATCAACTTGTACAGCCATAGTTTAATAAAATTGCAATTGTTGGAGTTGTTCCGTGTTGTTCTTTCGCAGATTTTTCTTTTTTTTTTTTCCTCCTTTGGTTTAAGCATTACATATTTCCTTTGGTTTTGGATGCTGTGCAGCTGGAAGGATTTTTGCTCTTTTTTTTTTTTTTTTTACTGTCAGACAGTTGTTATGATGGGTAACCTTGGCAACAATGTGGTTTGTTGTTACAACCAGGAGCAGCTGATTAGCATCTCAAAAGCTCAACAAATACTTGAACAACAACCCCAAACCTGAGAGGAGTTAAAAAAGGAGGCTTCATCGGTGCAGAGCAGGACGAAAGAGCAGAGAGAAAAGGAGGAAGCTCAAACCATCTCTTCCTGGGTTTCTAATCATACGGCCAGACAGAGATTAAAGAAGAGCTGCAAAAGCAAATGAGGTGGATTAGCAGAGCTTGCCAACAACTGATGGTGTCATCCAGGACATCTTACTGTGGGATATCAACTCTGCTGCCTGTAAAGTGTGATATTAGCATGTAATATTTGTGTATTTTGACTATGTTGCAGAAGACACTATTGCACAGCGTCTTAAGTTAGAGACATCTTCAGATTTGTTCTGAGACTGACTGCTACTGGAGATTTTTCTTGCCCACAGCATCATCATCCATTGCAACTTTTTGAAGATAATTGGAGGATTTGAGTTACAAATTATCCAAATAAGGTACGTTGAAAGGTACATTTCAATCAACTGTGCACATCGAGACTGAAATTGCTCAACCTCAGTCAGATTAGACAGTGGGACCATAATTAAATACACAAAGCCACAAAATGAACATTTAAACAAAGCAAATGTGTAACAAAAACAACATTTATTACACCAGAATTACACTATCAGTTCAACTAATTTAATCCAAGTCTAAGGAACAGTCACAAAATGTCACCAAAATGACTGTCCCTCTAAAATCTTTCAGAAAATCTTAGAAATGCAGTGAATCCTATCGAATCATATCGTTTGCTTAATATCGTAATATATATTGTATCGGGAGCAGAATATCATGCATTGTATTGTATCATGAGATTACACACAGCTCTATTGGACAGATAGCATCTGTGATCAATTTTCTAGTTTTACCAAATACTATCATTTAGATTTAGGTCTAAACTTTTATTAGGTCATTCCAACATCAATATTGTATGTTTGTATGTTTAGTGTCTTTGTTGTGCTGGAATCTGGACTTTCTCCCCAGTCTTAAGCAGTTCTTAAAAAGTTGTATTCTTACACTTCGCTTCATACATTTTTCCATCACATCTGCCCATCTTTGATTAGCATTTATACCAAGATGATCTCATATGAAAAGAACACCTTCTTCCAAATATTTTTTGGACCGCTCCAACACATGGAAATGCTTTGAACCAAACCATTCCCTTTAGCGCTGACTTAATGTTTAGGTTTATTGTAATGTTGCAAGGTGTAACCATAGCCAAGTTTGAATCTTTTGGAGCCTTGCAACCATGTAGAATATAATCTTATTAAACTATACTGAAGTATGTAGTTGTAATGTAATAACGTGAACAAGTAAAAGGAGTATCAATGATTTTGCAAATCACTGTAATAAAGTGTTTTACTTATGGGCAAAAATGTACAACTTGCACAAAACTTTACTAAACAATGCCTTTCAAAAAAAATACTTTAATTTCAAGCCCAAGCTTATATTAGTCTTTATTCCAGATCTGTAAAGCATTAACTTGATGGCTAATAATGTCAAAGCCTGACCTTAAAATTTAAACAAGCGTCTAATAAATTTGAAACAGTTGTTAAAGTGAAATAAGAGCGCACAGCAGATTTAAAAAGGCTGGGAATCATAAGGCAGAGTGACAATAAGTCCTAAACAAACATCAGACAGAGCAGCACTGAGAGAAGCTGACTCCTCCTCCTCCAGCATCAATACAGTCAGAAAACTCAGAGGGAAAAGTGGAAACCGCCACTATATTCAGCAACGATAAAAAAAGATAGGTATTGATTAAATGGAGATAACACCTCTATTTAAACATGGCTGTAGAAAATGAAGCAGCAAAGATAGATTTTGTCAATCAAGCATTAGTTTAAGAATTTTGTAATTTCTATGAAGGTGAAAAGCTTTTCAACACATGCCTATGACACAAACCATCTGTCAAACATACTGTCGCTCAAGTCAGTGCTACAAGTCTAAATGCAGGTCAGTCTAGAAACAGACAGTTAAAGTTTTGTATCATATCAGATTAACTTCCCCATTTAAAATGGAGAGTAGAATGAGATTTCTCTGTTTCAGAATATTTTGTTTATCAAGAAAGACTCTGTGGTTCCCTTTTCACCTGTCTGTTAGTTGGTGGCAGATGATAATGAAGAGAAAGAACAGTGAGGGCAAAGCGCCACACTGCAGGTCATTATCACAGCTGCTTCACCAACAGACCAGAGATCGGAACCGGATAATTTTCTCTCATCAGTAAATCACATTCTGAAAAATACTTTTTCTATTAATTAAACTAATCAAAATCAGGAACAGCCAACACTTTTTGTTCATCCATCAGCATGCACTCTCATTTGCCGCTTTTGGAAGTTTAATAAGAATCAGATGAAGGTTAGAGAAATACGCTTTGAAACATGGGGATAATCTTGTAAGTCCTTCATTTTCAAAGTGCTTGCAGCACATTGTCATCTTTTCTGTGCTATAGCCCTTGGGGAAAATAGCAATTCTGACCTCAAGTCAGTATTTGCCTGGAAAAAAAAAACGTCAGATCTGTGCCTCATCGCCATCACCTCAATCACAAAACGTATTAGCATGCTTGCGATTTGCTCTCCTTTGAGCTGCAAGCGGCGAATAAAAACACAGAAATTTGTCAGGAATGATGTGTCCCCCCATAACATGAAAATATCTAAAGGCACAGCGACACTTAAAGAAGAAGCAGGAATATTCCCCAGTGAATGGCAGCTGGGACGCATCTCAAAACAGAATAAAGCTGGGTAAACAATGTCACTTCTCGAATGCTTTTCACGTATACAACATTTACACAATTTTCAATTACATCCACACCATGCAGCAGAACTTAAAACCCAACAAAAACTTAATTTTACGCATATTAATCATCATATTAATCATTTTTATTTAAAAGACTAGTCTAGTCTTTTAAATAAGACTAGATAAGATAATAAGATAATAAGACTAGATAATAAGACTAAATAATGCTGATATTTACACCTGCATTTATCCACTGAGCAAAAGCAGGAAGAAAAAGCACATTTCATCATTAAAGCTGCAAAAAGAAACTGAACTTTGCTATTCTAACGCTCCAAATGCATGAAAAATGAATGAACATACCTTCATCTCTCTATGAGTCCTCTAGGTGACCAGTGTGAGGAATCCGAGGCTGCAAAAGGGAGGATGGAGATTATGCATTACAGAGGGTGGCCAACTTCAGTCTAGCACAACAAGACACGGTTATGTTATGATGACATCACTTCTTTTGCTACAGTGGTGCACGAAAAAAATTATAAAAACCGCCTCATTTGCTGTTTTTTTTTATTTTTATTTATTATCGCTATTATTATTAAACATCCTGATTTAGCCACTGACCTGTTGCTGGAGGACCAGGGATGGGTGTGTGTGTGTGTGTGTGTGTGTGTGCTTGGGCATTCGAGTCACATTCAGAAAGTAAAGCCGTGGCAGGCTGATCACTCTCTCGTTCGCAGAGTGCTTAAAGCCGTTTATGTAATGCCTGGTGTACTGTTGCCAGTCAAGTCAGTCAGACTCGGCTCTCTTGCTCCGAAGAACACAAAGTAACTACTCGCTGTGCAACATGGGAGTCTTCCCTGCCTTTCGTCGCTCGGCACAGATAACACGGATAATGTGGTCGTTTAATACTCGCTGAGAGCCTCACGGTGCTCTGCCTCCACCGTCTGCACCGCACTGACTCTACCAACAGTACAGCAGAGGGATGACGCCATTTCTGTAGCTGACAGTCGGACAGAAAGGAGGAACACCAGCGCTGAAAATTGCTGGGACCGTACACGCAATTTTCAGCTAGCAAATGCTTAAACATCATTTTCCCCTCCGACACAAATCTCTTTTGTCTTTTTTGAACTGTTCATTTTAGCTCTCTCTCCCTCTCTCTTGTCTCGCTGCAGAGTACACGCGACAGCAAAAAAAAAAAAAAAAAAAAAAAAGAGCGATAATAACTCCGTGAAACACAGTCACAAAACCTTTATATAAACATGTCACGTCGTTAAACTGTAACACAGCGACAGCGTTGAGTTAAACAAAGTGAGAGGCATTTGAAAACTCACTTTACTCGCTCTGAAAATGTTTTCTTTATCGACAGCTCCGACATTTCGCTGACTGTTTTTTGATTGAGCTGACAAAGAAACAAGTCGACGGAGCGGTTTTGCACCAAGGTCAAGCCCGAGGAAGAAAAAAACAAAAACAAAAAAAGAAGACTCACATCTTCGAGTCTTCCGACGTTTTATTGTTGAGGCAAGAGCCAAGGTCGGCAGCAGCCCCGCATTTCTGTGGCTCGGGAATGATCGCGGAGGATACGAGATCATCCGCCCCAGACAGTTCAACTAGAGAATGACTGACCGCCGCCGACAGCGCAGCTATTCCAGAAACATGTCCGTTTAAACCCGATTACTGTTTGAATCCCTTTCCCCCCCTCCCCCCACACATTGTTTATCACGCACACAACACTGGGACTTCTTCTCCCCTTCCGAAACGGGATCGCATCAGATCGGGGTTCCTCGATACAACGAGGCAGCCCATCTGCTCCAGCCTACACCGGGACAAGTCGGTCGTGAGAAGCTAACGACACCGATGGCACAAAAGAACCTCCTGACAGTGCAGTTTACCTGTTAAACTACGCCGTTGGATCGTTGGTCGACGACTCGCGTCCCGCAGCCATGTCAAATACACACACACACACACATACACACACACACACAAAAACACCTTCAACGAGTCCCCCCTGATTGTTTCGAGTAATATCACTTTCCAACGTCCGTGACAGGCGCTGCTCGACTGAAGCCTCCCCGAGGATTCCTCCGCTCAGCAACAACACAACGCTACGGTTAGCCACGTCCAGAAACACTGGAAACTATTCAACCTCGAAGGAGCATAACCTTTCACTGCGCTCATCAGCCTAATTTGTGCTCACCACAACACAACTTTATCATCAAGTTGTCCGTTCTCTCATTCATTTCCCCCTCTAGCCGCCCCCCTACGAAAGTACAACACACCATTAGTTAACAAGTTAGCTACAGTCACGGTTGGCTTAGTATCAGCAGGGAAGCATGCCAGTAAAATGTTCAAAATAGCGACCGCTTTGGCGAACAAAAGCAACACTTACCTTTGCTGTCAAGCTGAGGAACGCGTCTGCTCTTCGACGATAATGTATTAGTAATCCATAGGGACATTTATGTGGAAAGAATGACAGGCTTTAACGTCCGTTGAATCCCGGTGGATGTTGGATGCGGACTGGTAAAAGTGGTTTTCGCTCAGAGCTGCTGTTTGCCTTGTTGAGTAGCTGCTCTAACCTAGCTCTTTCTGTGATCCTCCGCCTTCTGAGAATGATTGACGTCGAGAATAATCCCGCCTCTCTTCAAAAGCACGACTGCCCATTGGAGAACACCATAAAACCATACGCCTTCGTGACACAGGATTGGTTGATCCGGGAGAAAAATATGCACAGCAAAGAGTTCGATGTAATCCTACTGGGTGGTTGTCACAATACAAGGAAAAAAATTCTGAAAGACTACAACTCCCACTGCTAACGAATAGGTTTGCTTGATATATGAAAGCAGGACGTCCCGATAGTGATAGGAGTGCTTTTACCTATTTGCAAACAGCAAAGAGTGTTAACAGGGCAACATCAAGGAATAAATCCAACACCTATCAAATGACATTTATTTCTCAATAGGCTCTGCGCGTGCGCTATAACGTGGCCGAAGGTTATATATTGAGCTCATCAAAGCTGGCTCTTTTAAGGCTTGACTGTTCACGGAACGGTGCGTAACATAAGCAGTGCTACTTAGCATAGCATCGTTCGAAGTAGACACGAGCACCTGGAGCTATAATGGTTTAAAAGTCTTGTACTGAAAGTCATATCGTGTGCCTTATATGCCCCAGCGTGGAAGTGCGAAGTTTAATTCTGGGAAAGGAAAGAAAGGAATGCTCAACTGGGTCATTTCGACGCGTTTATGTTAGCCCGCTTCCGCTAAGTAATTAGCAGACTGGCTAACCGGAATTCGGGGACGCCTGGTGAGCAGACCGACACACGGCAGCTAAGGTGGGTGGGGTTGGGAACTGTTAATAAATATATATATATAAAGTCAGTAAAACTGTTTTAAATTCTCTCTTATTGGATATAATATGCCAACAAAACTTGCAACAAGAACATTAAACGGTGTTTTTAACGAATTGCATATTAAATCCCTTGCGAATTGAAATCTAATTTTTGACATTTAGTATATTGTGGGGTTATAGAAATCCTTTAATCTCCCACAAATGACCACAAACTGTTGCATTTTAAAGGTTTTTTGAGGCTAATTTATCATCTATTTTTGTGAAAAACTGGTCTGCTGAATACATTTTTAAAAGAAATTATCAAAACTCCCTCACCTTTTTCTGCTCTTGAAATTAATTAAAAACGAAACTATAAAATGTTGTTAAATAAAACAGTCCCCCCCGGCCCCCACAAATGACCCAAAAGCAGAGGGCTGTTTCTTTTTTTTTTTATCAAAGGAAACCTACAAATGCAGCAAAATCTTCTGGATTATACGACTTGGCTATCTGTGTAACTAAAACCCAACTAAAATATTAGAGTATCTCTTTATGTCCTTTACAAGACAAATGATAACTTTTGCAGTTCATTATGGAGCAGAATACATTTAGTTACGTACTTATGCTTGACCTATGTTTCCAGTTTGTTGGGTTTTACATGACCTGACATCCAGTTGTAGGTTTCAGGTTATACAAACAGAAACTTTCACTCTGTAAATAGTCCTGACAGTCACATTGCAAATGACATGAAAAGATAAAACTGTTATATATACAGTGTGTACATAGTTTGTGGTACACCGTCATGGTTTCATACAAAATGGCAAATATTTATGTGTAATGCTGCTCAATACTCCCTGAAAGAACTGCATGGTGGTGTTTTAAGATATCTCACTTAAAGCCAAATCATGGTGAAATTTTATCTTTTAACGATCACACAACCTAATATAGTTGTGTAAATGGTCTTAGCTGAAGATAAAAATGGCATTTCCCATCAGTTTCCCTCATGAAATTGTAATTTATGCATGAAATGGCACAACTCCACTTCACCATTCTTGGTAACTTGTTTTGTTTATTGAAAACTTTTCAAACTTTAATAACTAATTTTTACAGCTTTGTTTCCCTCAAGCACTGCCTTTATGTTTGACGTTCTTTCTGCTAATATGGCAAAATGTTTAGTAATGTATTGTGAGTAGGAGGTGACCTTATCATATTTCAATAGACATCACCACACAAAGTATACATATTTCTATAACACGTCTTTGAAAATAAAACTGTTGTTCATCTATTTGAGAGGAAAATGCTTGGATTTACTGTTGGATATTTAAATCATTTGCTTTGCTTTGCTATGATCGGTCATTATTTATGTGATGCACAGCCTCCCATCCATGCAAAACTCCACTGTTGAACAGGAATTTATTTTTCAAAACAAAGTGTATTTTACTAATAATTAGAATGATTAGCTTTACTAAGCGTTTAATTATCTGCGTAGTAAATAGATGCAAAGTGTACAATGGGCTGATTCCTGTCACCTAGGGTAATATCACATCCAAAAGTAAGAAACCAGTAGGTGATTTGATGCATGGAGTTGCATACTTGCAGAATGTTTTCTCACCTTCATATACATCAGATCGACACAATCATAAACTTGACAGGAGCAACATGTTTCATATTCTATTTTTTGCTCCACATGTGGTTGTGAGGTGAAGCGTGTGCTCACACAGTGTCAAAGTAACGGTGATGGTGAAATATGTTGTCAATATATTCCGCTTTTTAGTGTATTAGTGAAGTGAACCATTAAAACTGAAAAAACGCTTTAAGATAACAATGTTTGCTGTCTACCATTGACCCTCTGCTGCGCGAGTGGAAAAATGTCTTGTTGGCATCATGCAAGCTGGTTTTTAGAGAAAGTTGGTTAACATTTGATATTGCTGTGGGGATTTTTACTTGGCTAAATTCAGTGTCACATCTGTGGTCAAAGTTATGGTTTTTTTTTTGTAAAATTTGTCAGAGAAGAACCAGAGCAACTGTAAATGTGGTTAAAAATGAGCAAGTTGAGCACGATAAGCAATCATACGCCTAAAGTGAACCTTTATAAAGTGAGTAGCTCAGATAATGGACTTTAATATGTTTGTTAGTTTATAAATACTGAACTTCTTGGCATTAAAATATATTAAAGATCATCTGTCATGGCGTCAACCTTCCAGACCTCTCAAGTTTTCTGGTTCTGATGCATACCAGAACCAGAAAACCAAACATTGGAGAAGCACCATTCAGTTTTTATTCTCTCCTAATCTGGAACAAATGTCCAGAAAACTTTAAAAATGCAGAAACCCCAATATCCTTTAAAGGATGGCTGAAAACCCACCTGTTTAGATTTGCCTTTAATAACTGGAACATAATTGATTTCATCTGTATTCCAACTTTTCATAACTTTCCTTTATTATGCCACCATATTTCAATGTTTCTTTGTTTTATGCTTTTATAAGTTACAGCACTTTAAAGCTTTGTTGCTGAAATATGCTATACAAATAAACTTGCTGATAGTTTTGTGCTGAGAAACCACAGATCACTGAAGATAAACACAAAGGTCCAATCATGTGTATTCATGATGTGACCCCTTGCATAATAATGGAAAACAACTAGATTTTGAAAAAAGTGTAATAATTTCACCATTATTTCTGTAGTGTCTCATCTAACCTGCACACTTTGAGGATAATGAGACTTGAATGTGCGTTCTGATTTTCTGTATCACATTAAAAAGTCACTTGTACCCTGAATCAGTGAGCTCTCACCTTAATGAGTGACGCTCAATTCCTCATTTTTCTGAAAAGTAACTTCCTGTTACTAATCCAGAAGACGAAAAGCTTTTTTCTTTTATTTACAATTTTCTGTGATATTCCTGCAAATAATTTATACAATATTTTTGAGATCAGGAGATAAAAACACCCAAAAGCATGCTAGAACAAGATTTAAATTAAAAATTCTAAAATATAACTTTTTTTATCAACTACATTCAACTACCTAAAATATGGAACAATCACTGAAGAGCATTACTAATTTAAAGCACATCGTCAATGTTTTTATGGTAAAACAATTTGCTCCCAAACTGTCTGTTTATCTGGGTTATGTTTATTCCGACTGTGATAAATATACACAGATGAATCATATTAGCCTGCAGTGCTTTAAAAAAAAAAAAAAACACACAGCCATCTACTTCAGCTGGTTTTATTTTCCTTTCCTTGCGTTTGTTGTCTTCCAGTTTTGAGAGTTATCAGGAAGCGATGGATGGTTCCTCTCAACCCGCCTCAGACCGAATTCTGCTAGAACCGTACAAGTACTTGTTGCAGCTGCCAGGTGAGTCCTTTTGTTTTTTGGGAAATGTGAAGAAAAGAAAATAATAAACGGACAAAAAACACTGTAGTTTGCTGAAGAATCCTGTGCAGCTCATTTGATTTCAAGCCAGTTTGTGCATTTAGGTTTTTCTAGAATATGTGTCAAACTCAAGGCCCGTGGGCCAAATCTGGCCCACTTTAGTTTTTCATGTGGTCCTCTAGATTCTATACTAAACATTAAGTTTGGTTAAATATTATGTTATCAATCAAATCAATGCAGTTTTTATCTGTTTACTGTCAAATTATATCAATCAGTCCCTCCAGTTTCTTGCAAATTATCATGGAAATAATATATAATAGGGAGTTTATTGTGAATTTTTTCTCAAAAATTGTCAAAAACTTTCTGACTGGTACTAAGCAGTGCAGCCATGATTCACGATCTATACAGCGAGTAATAAAAAGTTGCATTTACCGTCAGAAATAAGTGTAAATATTTTCAAATTAGTATTACACACTTTGGTTTCTATTGCAAAAAAATCACAAAAACAATAAAAATTCTGAAAAGATGTTCAATATTATTTAATTTTAAGAATTAATTAATATTTTTTAAAGTTTAGGTTTTTATCAATACATTCTAGCACAACCGGCCCTTTAAGAGCATTTATGATCTGGATTTGGCCCAAAATGAAAATGAGTTTGACGCCCTTCTCTAGAACATCCCATAAGATCCCTCTTTAACTCAGTAAAACAGTTATTACTGCTGATGCAACGGGCATGGCAATTTTTGATTCTGAAGCAAGATGTTGCACAAATAGATGTTTTCAGCATTGTTTGTTCATTTAAATGACAAGGCTGCCAGTGTAACATGGTTATTAGGGTAAATTGTCGGGTTGTCTGTGGCTTTCAAAGAATATCTGCTGCCGTTTTTATCCCAGGAGTTTCTGAAGGTCCATTCAGTTTGTTTCAGTCCTTCCAGGGAGTTGTAATTTCAGCAATTAATGCATATTGGAAATTTTGTTGAAAACTTGAAATTCTTCGCAAATGCAACCAATCATAATAATGATTTCCGTATTTCCTTTATTTCTGACCAATCACTGCAACTTAGCTGAATTTTGACCATTTACTTTAGCCTCTATTTAATTTGGCTTCCAGTTTAGCTATGACTCCTGAAAGCCTAACCTGCAAGATAAAAGCATGTGTGATGCTACACAGTAACATTTACCTTATTTTTTTAATCACAACTTCTGTAATTTTAGGTAGCAACAATCACAAAAAAAAATATTGCAACATTCTGGAGGGACTGATTTTTAAAATAAATATCCTGACTTTTTAAGGATTTTAGATTTAGATAATATTTTAGCTACTCGAGCCTAAAATGGCATCTGAATGCTAAACATGTTGCAGCAGCGCAGACATCCTCAACTAATGTCAGTGTCCTCAGTTTGCATTTCTAAGAAGGAATTTTTTAAAGAAGTCGCATGAATGATCAGATGAAACACTTTAATGCTGAATGGGTATAACAGCACTTTGGATCAATCTGATGGCTGAATAACCTAAATAACGGATTAAAAACAATAAACATGTTTGTTGTGATCATGTGTCTCTTTGTTCAATAAATTAGCAGCAAAAGGGGGTTTTGAAATGAAAATATAGCTTGTTTTGTCAATATATAACTTTAGATTAGCATGTAATAATTAAGTAATTAGGCCCTGGAATTAACTTGACTGTTTACTGTCTGCTTTGATATAACTTGTTGATAATTCAGTTTGTACCACATTAAATTTAAGTTTTAGTTGATTCGGTACACACACAACGTACACAAAGTTGTTCTGCTAAATAAAGAGGGGCTTTATTTTTTAAATATTTAAATTTAACAACTGGTGACAGAGAGGAAGCTGCTGAAGCAGAACAACCTCCTGAATCATGAGCCTGTTGTTAAACGTCTTGCACATGTTTGCAACAAGCATCAGTAGTGAAGCTGAAGTAAAATGTAGTTTTAACTTCGGACTAGTTAAGCAATGTATTTCTTTGTTCTCTCTGCAGGAAAACAAGTGAGGACAAAACTTGCCCAAGCATTTAACCACTGGCTCAATGTACCAGAAGACAAACTGCAGGTGAGAAACGGCGCATTTCAAGTGCTGCTGCTCTGTTGCAGGCGAGTCTCAGCGGAAGGTGGGAAGATGATGTAGTTGATTGTTGATGTAGCACTGCTCCATTTATATTTACATGACATGTAGTGGCCTTTTTTAGAGGTTCTTGTGAGGTTTCACGACTAGAATGCAGAATTTGTCTTGTTTTCACACATTTGATTCGAAGCTCATTTCACACTTTTTTTTGTGCAACAAACATTTATGTTCTGGTGATGAGCAACAAGCAGGGAGGCCTGCTGGCTTCACATCGGGCTGGATCAGGGCGAGTTAGTTTTTGTGACACTTGTCTGAACTTGTTCAACTAGTCTGGAGGAAATCTGGTTAAAGATCCAATAATGAGCTCCTCTCTTTCAGTGATAACCTCCCTCTGTGTTGAGTAAGTCTCTGTTTAAGCCCTTTATAATCTCCTCATACATTCTTCTAGCACTAAGCTTTATTGAATATTTGACGCTTTACTTTTTGAATCTGAAGTGTTATTTGTTTTCTGCTAAAGAAAAGAAAATACCGAAACAGTTACTTTATGGGATTACTTACTGTAATAAACGTATAATATAGTTTTAGTTTATTGGATTCAAATCAATTAATATTTTACCCTCTGCAAGGTGAGGTGTTTTGGTACTGTTGTGATTTTGTACAAGACAATAAGTCATTTTTTTATATATAAAAGGAAATTGATCTCCACCTGTGTGTGGTTGTGCATTTGTTTTCTGATGGCGTTTGTGTATTTTTACCTTGCTTCAAACTTTTTAGATGTACATTTTAAAGTTTATCAAAGCTAACGTATAGAGAATTAAGTTATCTTCACTTCACTTTTTTGTGGCCTCTGCAATTTAATAAAAATTTATTTAAAAATTTTATAAAACTTTTGGTTAAACTTTATTTGACGGGGTGTGCATAAGACTGACATGACACTGTCATAAACATGAAAGAACACCTGTCATGAATATGAAGGAGTCTTTATGAATGTTGTCATGAAGTGTCATTCGGTAAATAATGACACTTTTAAAGCAGAATTGCTTTAAAAGTTGCCTTGAATGTCCATTAAAAGTGCCAACTTTGCATTAAAGTGTCATTATTTACAAACGAATGCAAAGTTGAGACTTTTAATGGATGTTGAAGGCAACTTTTAAAGCAACTTTGCATTAAAAGGGTCATTATTTATCGAATGAGACTTCATGATAAGTCATATATATTCATAAAGACTCCTTCATGTTCATGACAGTGTCATATCAGTCTTATGCACACCCCATCAAATAAAGTGTTACCAAAAGTTTTTTTGTTACTCTTACAGTCAGTAAACAGACATTCAGTAGTTACATTGCAATAATCAATCACCCAGTGACTGAAATCAGACATTCCCCAGTAATTATCAGGTAAATTACTGAAAAAGAATCTCGGACTTAAGAGATGCAATAACGAGCAGCAAGACAATTTTTTCTCTGCTGATATTTTGCAGTTGGTTTCTGTTTTACTCTGACTTTGCTGTCACTGAAGTTTGCCGTACTTTGACCAAACCCCCTTCATTTAAATATCAGAACATAAAATAAAGAGTGAAGAGTTAAAAAGTCTCAGAAAAAAACATAAAGTAGCTTTGCAAAATAAGTGTCACAAAATAAAACATCATTATGAGATAGATAAATGTGGGAATATTTGTTTTCAGCCAGTTGTCTGTCTTTACAATATATTGAATATGTAGAAAAGGTTGTTGACCCAGGCTGTTTGTTTGCTGTAGAGAGAGAGAATAACAGCTGATCCTGATTTTCAGTAACACACAGGAATCCTGACAATTCTCCCAATCCACATCAGCATCGATAAACTCTGGATGGGGCCGATTAGATGGCAGCAGACCTGCTGACGCAGCTTCATTGACATTACTGTTTTTTACAGGAAGAATAAATCAAATCAGCCATTTTGATATTTTTTCTTGATTTGGTAGTTGACACTTTTGACCTATTACTGCTTATTAAAAAGGAGGTGTGCACATTGGCAAAGAGATTGACCGTTTTAATCAGTTTTTACGTTTTATTTACCTTAAATTACGTGCCTCCAGATGGCAGTATTTCTTACCTTTTCAACACTGATGGTCCTTGATCAATACAGCGAGAAACAGTCACATTTATCATCATACATAAGTGCAAATATTACAAAATTATTTTCTAATGATTCTACATTAGCACCAATGAAATCTATGATTTTGATTGCAAACAAATCAATGTGGAAAAAATGTCAAATATTTATTTTTAAGAAGTACTTATCAAATGCAGAGACAGCTACTTATTCATATTTTAAGTTTTGTTAATGGATTTCATCAATACATTCTGACACAACCAGCCCTTTAGGACATTTGTGATCTTGCTATGGTCCAAAATGAAAATGAGTTTAACTCATCTTAAATGGTCCTGAATGCTAAGTTTCGACTCGGTCTGTTTCGGTCAGCCATCACTGTTGCCTCCTGTAGCCATTTTATTATCAAATCTGCAGAAAGCTTTCGGGTAGGAATGTGTGTGTTCAGATGAATTATTGGACATCTTACTGCAGGATTCCTTTGCATTTAATCGCATCTTCCACACTAAATATAAAAACACAACATGCCAACATTTCTATTTTAAGATTTCATCTCCTCCCTAAAGCTAAAATGTTTTATTTTTAGAGTTTTGAGGATAACTAATTACTCTTTACACCTGCTGGTGTTTTCGTGGTAACTCCAGTTCCAGCAGAAGCTGGCTGTCATGGTACAGCGGGTAGCTGAGGTTTAAATCTGTGTAACAGCTCTGTAAACTCCAGCTGAACCCTTCACACAGGCCGAGAGCTCTCCTCTTGTCATCATTAGTTCACTGCTGCCAAGAAGTCGCCGCCATGGAAACAACGGCGCCTTTAGATAGACGGGGCACCGACAGTGGCACGCTGGTTTTCGTGCCGGTACGCCACAGGTCGTGGATGTTCCCCGCGTTTCGTTCGGTGCTTTGAAGCCGTTTGCTTTTCTTTGCTTCTCTCTGAAAAGCGTAGTTGTTTATTTATGGTGCTCTTTCACTCTGAAATCTCTACATGAGTGCATCTGTTGCTTTGGTGTGAGAGGTTTTTGTGCTTTTCTGTGACTCATGCAGCTTCTTTTAGTGAATAACGAGAAAGCAGGAGGCGCATTAAGACATGTTCTGTGCTGTGTAGCAACACATGATAAAATTACACCTTTGAAATGTGTTAAATGGATGTAGTGACAAATATTTACTCTGATTCTAACAGTTTCTGTTATATCTGTGTTGGTTTGTCTCCTATAGGTCTAGATTATTCAAAGTTGGTTAAAACACAGTTTGGAAAAGTCTGGAATTTGATTTCAGTATTTTACAGATTTGGGGGAAAAAATTGATTAAAGAAAATAGTGTCATTCCTCCAGGAAACTAGAATTTGCATCAGTTTAAATTTATCTTTAAAAAAACAATCCAGTCTGATGCAATAATCTAATTTTAGATGTTTAGTTTTTATGAGCTGCAAGCGATAAATCACCATAACAAATAGAAATAAAGGGTTGATCACATCAGCCTGTGTCTAATTAATCTGAATATTGTTGCATAGATAGTTGCTGAATTAATTTAACTTTTCAGTAATATTCAGATTTACTGAATACGACTGTTACTAAGACAAAATCTAAAATTTTGTCTTTTTATCTCTTTTGTTTGATCATTTGCTTAACGCTACTATTGTTGCATATGAAGAAATATTATACAACTCAAACACTGTTTTAATGTTTAAACAATCGAAATAATTAAGTTTCATTCAATTCAGCTTATTTATATAACACCATTCAAAACAAAAAAGTATTCAGTCCTATCCTTCATCATCTCCAGTTGATCCAGTTATGAAACGATGGAATCAAGTTCAGTTTATTACTCAATTTTCAAAAATAAAGCAGATGGATTCTCACACACACAAAACAAACACAAAGGTGATGATGTCAAATGGAAAATATAAAGTGGAATAATCTCATCTACATAATGATGAGGGAATTATATTAATAAGAATGACACATTAGCTGTCAAACTTCATGTTTTTTTTATATTGACATTGGTCTTGTTCCATTTCCTGAATTGCTTCTTTCCATCTTCATTTTAAACATTATATTTTGTTTGTTTAGGTTTCAGATTCTGGTTTTGAAAAACATATTTGTCTAAATCTGCTTGCAGCTAATCATGCAATCCTTACAGAAAGACTGCATCAGTTGACTGGAGTTGATTTGCGCTGTTTTGCCGCTGACCAGCTTGATCCTACATGTAACGGTTATTAGTTTGGACAGATTATTCTGAGCCTGCTTTGCAGTACCGGTTCCAGCCCTGTGATTGGTTTAATTAACAGATCACAGCACGAACAGGAATCCAACAAGCTTCTCATTAACTTTTCTTTAAATGTTATTTTATGGGGTGAAGACTTGTTGTTGAGGGAGACACTACAGGAGTTCACAACACAGCTGTCTGCTATTTGTAGCACTTAATAAACCAAACTTTAATGCTCCAAAAGTCGTTTTTGAGTCATCGGTTGTTGCAGCTGTAGTGCGTTGATGACTAAGACTGGATGCGGGTCCATGCCTTCACATCCTCTCCGTTTGGTTTGCCTGAAATTTTCTGCAGAAAATACTTGATGATACAGTTGGGACAAAAAAGGTGTTTTTAGAGATGTAAAAAGTTTTTATTAGGTGCTACAGAGGAACATCCTACATAAGTTAGTATGTAATGAAAGTTTAAATGAACTTTACTGCGTTTACATGCGTACCTGATTGATATTAAATTTATATTCTAGTTCATTATGAGCCTGGATGACAAAAACAAAATGGTATTCTTAAATGAAAACATTTTGAGATTAGCTAAATTACAAGACACCTTTGATAAATACACTGCTCAAAAAAATAAAGGGAACACTCAAATAACACATCCTATATCTGAATGAATGAAATATTCTCATTGAATACTTTGTTCTGTACAAAGTTGAATGTGCTGACAACAAAATCACACAAAAATCATCAATGGAAATCAAATTTATTAACCAATGGAGGCCTGGATTTGGAGCCACACACAAAATTAAAGTGAAATGTTCCCTTTATTTTTTTGAGCAGTATATTATAAATCTGTAGGCTTGCGACAATGACAAATCTTAGATAAAAAATTGCAATAAATGATGTTTTGAGACCATTTTCAAGTAATATAATGGTCTTGGCATAATAACGCAAGTACACTCTCTCAAAGATCAATAAGCTTTAATTTCTAACAAATGTTAAAAGACATTTTAAATATCCAAAATAATTTTAAAAAGATACTGAAATCTGAACAAAATTGTTCTTTTTAAAAAGGGATTTTTCTCATACAATCTTTGGTAGAGATATGAGAAAAACGATCAATCATCCAAAGGAAAACTATTGAGCTTGTTTTAATTTATTATGTAATTTATTGGTTATTACAAAAGGCTCATACATTTAATATGCAAATCTTAAAAGAAATATTGGTTTTGTCTGTTTATACAGATGTTTTTGCACTAAGTGATCCATTTGGATCAAACACCTCAGCACAAATTGTGAATATTTATCAGATATTTGCTTTGGGACATTGAAAAATAACCCAGTAAGTTTTACATTTGGTTCCAAATAATGGAGTATGAATCGAAATTGTGGCCATTATATAGGAATGACCAGATTTGTGTCATTTTAAGAAATTGTGAGTCTGTGCTCATGGTCTGGAGCTTTGATAGAAATTGAGGCAATAAAATAAAGAAGTAAGTTGGCTAGACGTTGGAGCTCAGCTTTAAGTCTAAAACATTTTAAAAATCTGGTTCCTGCTTTTGGGATTTCAGAGATTCAGTTGTACTTTAATGATCCTTTTGCTCTTTAACTCAAACAGCAGATTGTAGCTTTATGCTCACTGATGCTGGAGGGAGAAATGTTGGGACGCTTCCAACGTGAGGCATGTTTTTGTTTTTTTGAATAAACTACTCGACCGGTTTGGCCTTGGCAATCTGCCCAATCTAGAGAGTCTCTTCTTTGTCCTGCCAGATCCCATCCTAGCAGCTTCCACCAGCGGGACACGCCGCTCGTCTTTTCAGACAGCAGAGCGGACAGCGGGAACCTGATGGTGCTCAGAGTCCAACACGGTTTACAAGTAGAATATCTTCCTGATGGACAGAAAAAAGGTTTATTTACAGATAAACCTCACAAAAAGATCGAAGTTGCAAACGAATGTCTATATTTAGGACTTGATGTTTTGGCTCTTTACAGCAAATAAAGTTGCTGCTAGACGTCTAGCATCCCATTAGATGCTAGATATCTAATGGGAATCTCATCAGTAGGTCTTTGCTGAGCTTTTTGATGCTCTAATTGCTCTACTGGAAATTCATTGTCGAAAAATGTAGACATGGCGCCATCTGCTGTGTCATAGCTGTAATGCACATTTTAAACAAAAAATCTGTTTCTTAAAGTTAGGAGGTAGGAATGAAAGTTATCAATTGAGTTGATCTAAAATTGATTGATCTTACCCATGGATTATTAATTTATAAGCAGCTATTTTATTAAAAAAATCTGAGTTTTCTTTTGTATCAGGAGGGCTGACTGTCTTTTCATTGGACAAAGGGCTAGTTTTTTATAAGAATATAGCAAAATTATTTAATTTTAACACTATTTTGCCTCTGTATTAAATACTGACTGAATAAGCAGACAATTGTGGTTCTCAGGTTATTAAACTTCAACATATTTATGAAATATAACAAACAGGAACCTCTTGGGTTGATGAAAAGAATTAAAATATGTGTGACACTTAATGAATAGAGAAATGTTCATACTGTGGTTGTTCTTGAAGGAATGTTAAAACTTTGCTCCATAAAGTGCATTAACTCAAAACCAACCTTGCTCATTGCCATCATGTTTTTTTTCCCCCATTATGTTTTCTCTGTTATCTCCTCCACTTTTCAGTCATCACATCCTGACCTCCATAATGCATCAGTAATTTTTAAATGAGAAGTTGACGCTGCTTGGCTCGGCTGAGTGAGCACTATTAAGGTGAAAGTTGAGAAGCTAGTCGAGTGTTTATATTTCAAAATGGATAAAGCGCAGTTTCATTCTACACTGGACTCTGTTTGGAAAGATTTGTACAAACCACCAGACAGTAATTCATGTACAAATCAGAAACTAGATGCAGGAATAAACTAAAATAAAATCAAGGAAATAATTAAAAAGGAAAACAAATATATTAAAAACACAGAACCATAATGGACTACAAAGCTGCTAAATTATGTTCTGCAATAATACATTTCTTAGCATTAGGATTCACATATTAGGAATCCTTAAATAATCAGTTTCTATGTTATGTGACATAGAAACTGATTTTTCACACAAAAAAAAACATTTTCTTACATTTGGACCATTTCTCCTTCCTTCTGGTATTGTTCCTCCATCTTCGTTTCTGTATAAACTGGTTCAGGATCACCAGCTGCGCCCTCTGGTGGATGATGGCCAAACTACAACACTAAAAGATCTAAATGGATGTTATAAATCAGTTGGAACTAATTTTAACCTAATAAACCATTAATCGACAATTGTAAGACGATTAGGGTCCATATTGGGAGTACCATTTGTTTTTTTTTCTGTTGTTGCTCTGGTGATTTTTACTTATTGAGATGAATCAACAAAGATGTTTGTGTTTTGCTCAGGTGATCATTGAGGTGACGGAGATGCTGCACAACGCCAGCTTGCTGATAGACGACATCGAGGACAACTCCAAGTTGCGTCGAGGCTTCCCGGTGGCTCACAGCATCTACGGCATTCCCTCGGTGATCAACTCGGCCAACTACGTGTACTTCCTGGGGCTGGAGAAGGTTCTGATCCTGGAGCACCCAGAAGCCGTACGAGTATTTACCCGCCAGCTGCTGGAGCTGCACCGCGGCCAGGGCCTGGACATCCACTGGAGGGACACCTACACCTGTCCCACAGAGGAGGAGTATCGCAACATGGTGCTACAGAAGACCGGGGGCCTCTTCGGTTTGGCCGTGGGGCTCATGCAGCTCTTTTCAGACTGGAAGCAGGACCTCAAGCCCCTCCTGGACACGCTGGGGCTGTTCTTCCAGATCCGGGACGACTACGCCAACCTGAGTTCCGACGAGTACAGCGAGAACAAAAGCTTCTGTGAGGATCTGACAGAGGGGAAGTTCTCGTTTCCCACAATCCACGCCATATGGTCGCGCCCGGAGAGCACCCAGGTGCAGAACATCCTCCGGCAGCGCACGGAGAACATGGACATCAAGAAGTACTGCGTGGACTACCTGGAGAAGGTGGGATCTTTCGCCTACACCCGACAGACCCTGCGGGATCTGGAGGCGGAGGCTTACCGCCTCATCACGGAGTTGGGAGGGAACCCTCAGCTGGAGAGCCTGATCAAACATCTCAGCCGCATGCATAATGAAGCAGAGGCCTCAGCAGAGTCCAACAGAGAGACGAAATCCAGCCAAAACTACTGACACACTCCCTCACACTCCTGCTTTCCTGAACGCAGAAGATGCACATTCCTGAAAAGCTCCAAACTAACCGTTGTGACGGCAGACGAGCTCCAAGTGTGGCTTAAAATAGTACCCATGGCTGATTCTTACATCTGAAGTGCTGCAGTGCTCTCAGGAATAGAAATTAAGCAGCAGAACTACAGTCAGTTTCTGCTTTACCACTTGACAAGATTATTACAAAAAAAAAAATCATAAATCTTGAAAGCCTTTTCTTCTGATGCACACTTCAGTGGATCTAAGTGCTTTTTGTCGGTTCCAGTTAATCCAGTTAATTGAGTGAACGTTGTTTTTGATTTAAATCTCTAACCGGAGTGATTTGAGGTCCCATAATGGCTGAATCAGCAGGGAGTCGATTCAGCCCTGCAGAAAAACAGCCGTGTGGTTTGTTCTGATTGCTCTGTAACAATGATGTTAGTGACTGTTTCCACGCAGTCGTCTCACAGCACAAATCCTCACAGCTACCGTGATGCTCACATATTTATATATTGACACTGCTGTATTCTAGGATCTTGTTTGAATTTCTTGAATAAAAAATTTTTTAAATCTAAATTATGTGTTTTGATTTATAAATCTGTTCTCACTGGCATGAAGTCTTCTTCTAGTCTGGTTTATTCGAACTCTGGGAAAACAGCGCCATCTTTTGACGACTGGACCATTAATTTTACCTAACATATTAGTCAACTGTATGAAAATAGGAGAATTTGTTGCATTAAAATGTTGGCTAAAAAATTATTCATTTTTTAAAATGTATATAACAAAACTGTATATTTACACTGGAGTTCCACAACAGAATGACAAAAAAGTAATTAAAATAGATCTGGCTTTTTGTCAATATTTTGAAAACTAGGCTTTATTTCTTCATAAATTATAACTTGCAGATCTAAATATTGAGTTTCCAGACTTTATTTCTCATTTCGTAATCTGAAATATGGGTCTGAATTTCTGAAAAACTGGGATATTTTGGTGATTTATACGTAGATAAATCTTGAAATTTTAGTCCAACTCTTCGATAGTCTAACCACAAATTTAAAATAAAGGAAAAAATATGGAAATTCAGATCTTTTCTAACTAAATGAGCTGGATAGAGGATCCTTATCTAATTTTTTTTTTCCCTAGATTTGTGACGGTAAGGACTCGCTAATCAAAAAACTGATTTAATTAATAATCATCCAATATTTCTAATATTTAAAATTATTTAAGTTGGTCCTGACATCAAAATTAAACATTAAAATGCTTCTTTCCTGAAATGAAAATTATTTAATCAAACCCAGCAGCATTAACTTCTGATTTGTACTGAGGAAAACAAATGTCAACACTGTCTCAAAATCTAGAAAACGAGTCTTAAAAATTCCATATTTTCAAACCAGAACAGCCTTGTAAACATCCTAGCAGTTATTTTTTATTTTTTTGTAATCGAGAAAGAGCAGCTGAAATGAATCACCAAAAGCCCAAAGTCAATAACATTCACGCCTATGATGAGTGGATTTAACCTTCTAACCAGAACTGTTTTTGTTTCTCGGGCGGCTCTCCGTCTACCTCCGTTTGAGGAGCTCTGACTACCAGTGAGCAGAGAGATAAAGACGCCCGGGGTTTTCTTGGATTTTTGTCCTTGTGTTGGTTACAATTCATCTAAATCCGGCATTATCTGCTGTCTCTGTTAATTTGAGTTTCTCCCTCAGCTGCCGAAAGGAAACACAGTCCTGTTGATAAAGCCTATCTGTCCCAGACAGGTCTGTTGACTCACTGAAGCCCCAGCTCTTGACAGCTGCGGTTCAATTAATCATGTGTGTTTTTTGGATTGCATTGTGCCGTCACATCTATTCATCAAAATGTCAACTTCTTGAAAATCTTTGCCCCTGCTAAGAAGTTAAGAGCCGCAGGAAAGCCCGATGCAAATGAACGCCTGATTCGATAAACGGAGAAGAAAAAGCATAAAGTCGGTTTTGTAGATCTAACTTAAGTCCATGACATAAATCAAAGCTCTCTCATGGCTTTCATTTCTCCTCTCTGGGTTGGTGAGATTGATTTTTTTTTTTTCACCCAGAGTCTGAGTTGTGTTTGAGAAACAAACAGAATAGCTTTTGTATGAAGAGCCGCCGTCTCCCTCATGCTTTGGTTTGTTTCTCACTGAGCTGTGTCGCTCAGATCCACAATGATATAATAAAAAAGAAAAACAACAACCTTGATTTAGAGGGTGAAAACAGACTTGTCTTGTTTTTACTGTGTTTTTGTTGATTCTGCAGAAATTTCACTTTTAAAATCCTGAGATGTTGCCATAGTTTTTACAGATGTTTTATTTATTTTTTTTTTTACACCTCCTCGTTGGCAGAAAGACAGTCGTCCTTCCATCAAGGACTGCTGAGCTGTTCCTGGCAGGGCATTGTATTCCCCTTCAAACCGGCTGAGAAAATATGAAAAACATGTCCATGACAGCTGAATGGTTTCAATTAAACCAGCTTCCAGTTAAAACCATGTTCTGTCATTGCGGCTGAAAAAAATGCACTTTAAATGACAGAATTATTAGTTTGCTGCGAGCATCCAATTATGCAGCGTGCAGCGTTCAGTGGGGTTGATCCCTCAGGAACCTCTGATTTCCATCTACTTCTTGCTCTCATCATAAAGCCGTTTGTCCAGTGACAGCCTTTTTTTTCTTTTCTTTTAAATTGGCTTTTCGGGCCAGAACGACGGCTTCACAGCAACAAAAGATTAAAAACTGTTGGGAAGCATCTTCTGGCTGCAGATTGGTGGCACTTCTGAGTGACAATAACAGCCAGCAGGGCTGACAAAATAAGCCCACAATGCCCAAGCTCATGCTAATGAGTAAATGTGTCACACTTATGTCAAAAAAAAAAAAAACAACAAAAAAAAACGTGCAGGAGGGGAAATCTGCTGCTTGGGGTCAGACTCTGTGTCAGCAGAAGAGTTGAAGATGGTGGGATGAGAAGAATGGATGGATTTGGGCCGGAGACGGCTATAAAAACAGAAATAAAATGGTGTTTCTTTAAAAATGACAATGGAGTCCCTGCAGTAGATATTTAAATTGTGTTTTTTCAAGAGGTCGGGTGATATTTGCAGCTCTAAAGTTTTAGTCAGGCAAATTTGGGGCAAAAAATTGTTCTTTGGATTATAAATACAGTAAGTCATGTCTGCTCTGTCGTAGTGAGGCCAAAAATATTTTTTTTTCTTCATTTACCAGTTTGTCTAAATTTCTAATCGTGAGTAGATATTAAGTCATACATCTGTTTGTACCAAAAAAAATAATAGTTACAGGTATTTTATGTTTCTTCATTTGTCATTCATCTTCAATCCATCAATTAATTGAGTTTATTTATATAGCACCAATTCACAACAAATGTCGTCTCAAGACATTTCAGTTTAAACACATCCATTCCAACTGAGTTATCAAACAGAGCAGTATGATTAATTAATTATTCAAAGTAGCTTAAAAGGTTTCTAAATAAGGAAACCCAGCATAAGGAACGGCTCCTAAGTGGGTTATTGGAAATTAAAACCCCAAATTAGATTTCTTTTTTTTTAAAAAAAAAAAAAAAGAAAGAAAGAAATTGGAAAGGTTTTTTTTTTTTTAAATCTTTCCAATAAGTCTTAATTTTTGTGCAGGACCAAAAAATGTAGATGTCGTTTCCCACCTGCAACCCCTCCAACATCGAGACGTATTTAAGCTCCTATAATACTGACATTTTACACACAAC